CATTCTTGGGAACCTGTCTGAAAGACAGTATAGCCAGCAGAACTGTCCCTTGGAGCACCGTGTGGTGCAAATGCTGGGGGTGTGCCATCTATTCAGTCCCTGGTGAACTTGGTCTCCTCTCCGAGCACCAACAAGGCTTCTGCCTAGAGTGTAGGACTCTGATAGCTCGAGAGGATAGGTCAGCAATATCGTTTTCCATCTGTTTTCAAGTTGATGTATTTCACCCCAACACAGATGTTAATTCCTGGATTTTCCAAACTGTGTTACTCTCACCAGCAGTTCTGTGTGGAAGAGCTGCTCTGTATGGAGCAGGGTCCTTATGGAGCAAGTGTTCAGGGAGACCATGGCAGCAGCCTCTCAACAAAGGAAGGCTTTTTTGTCTACTGTCACAAAGACTTCTCTTTTCTGTGCTCCATGTTGATTTTCCATAACCATAGTTTAAGAAATCCACCCCTGATTTCTTCACATTAGTGGCTTTGCTAAAGCTCTGTTGATCCACTGTCTTATATCACAGAGTCACAGAATATTCAGAGTTGGAAGGGACCCTTGAGGATCATCTAGTCCAACTCCTGGCCCTGCACAGGACATTCCTGAGAATCACACCCTGTGCCTGAGAGCATTGTCCAAACGTTCCTTGAGCTCTGTCAGGCTTGGGGCTGTGACCACTGCCCTGGGAAGCTGTTCCAGTGCCCAGACACCCTCTGAGGGAAGAACCATTTTCTGATCTCCAGCCTAAACTTCTCCTGACACAACTTCAGACCATTCTCTCAGGTCCTGTCACTGGCTGCCGGAGAGAAAGTAAGTGCTGCCGCTGCACTTCCTTCCATGAGGAAGTTGTGTACTGCAATGAGATGTCCCCTTAGTCTCCTCCAGGCTGAACGGACCAAGTGAGCTCGTGGCTTCCCCTCATGTTTGCACAGCTCTTTGCTGATATTTCCTCATTCTCTTCCTCCCTGCCTTGACAAATGGTATAATGTAAGTCTCCCAGTTAAGAATAGGAGTTTATGCTGGCTCATTCTTGGTTTTCAGATAGCAATCAAGGCTAGCTGAACACCTGCCTAGGAAAAACTAAAAGCATAAAGATAAGTGGAGTTATGAGATATACGGGTAACTAATTTCAACAGTGATCTTTATAGAGCCTGAGAAATAATGGTGAGAGATCTGCTTGAGGAGTTCACACTTGCGGTATAATCTGTTGTCGGAGTCATCGGATCATTTTTTATTTGGTTTTCCAAAAAATTTGTCTCTTTTTCTAAGAAATATTTTAATTCAATGCAAAACAAAAATAAATGAAACTCTATAACACTTATTAGTGACAGGAATTAATCTATTTTCCCTGTGTATAAGCAAAAAACTATTCTATGTAGTTAATTGTCTATTATACCTTGCTGACAGTGCAACAGAGTTCAAAATAGAAATGCCTAGGTGTAAATGCATTGTGAGACTCTCCTTGTACCTCAGACTTGCCAGACAGCTTAGTAGTAGTATTTTATGTAGTATTTGAAGCAAGTATTTTCCTTTAAAATTATCTAGGTTTTTCTTTTGAATTGATATTTTTCCCCTGGAACTTTACAAATTAAGATTAAAACCAGTTTAACTTGCTTTCCCCCTTACTCATTTTCCACATTCCTTAGAAAAATAAATCACTCCCAGTTGAAGCCTTATGGAAAGAGAGAGAAAAGTTTTGGGTGGGAGTGAGAATGGAAGGATTGGGACATATAAAGGCACAGTTGGCAATCCTGCTCTCTCACATTTTATAAGACAGTAAAATCTGCATATGGCAGATGCTCTTTTTACAAGGGGAAAGAAACCCCTTGTAATTTAAGTCAGGATCTCTGGGACTCTGCTGGGTGTGTTTTTAGAAATTTTTCTGGAAAGCATCTTTTAGTTCTGAAAACAAGCAAGTTGCTTGGCAGGTTTTTTAGAATGGGGAATTAAATATAAAAATCAGAGTGCTGTATTAAACAGTGTCATGTAATAGCTGCAGTATTGTTTTCAGGTGCTGGCTCTTGAACTAGGAAAGAGATGATAAGGTGTTTCTTTTTAGCTTGCTGCCAGGCCCCACTCTGCAGGATGAACTAAGATTAGAAGCTGTTCTGATCTCACAAGACCAAATTTTCAGTGTTTTCTGGCATCAGTTCTTGTGTCTGATTTAATTTCCAGAGATGTATTCAGACCAGCACAGGGTTAGACATCCAGTTCCGCTCCATGGTAGTGGGAAGATTAATGCTCTGGCACCACTGAGCTCTGGGAAAAGACAGCACTGCTCAGAAACCCCAAAAGAGGCTTCAGAGCTGATCTTACAGGATTGTGTACACCAAGGGTAGAAGGGCATTATGGTCCTTGAGCCTCCTAATTAATATTGCCAGAGAACCTCCCCATTGCTTGTAAGGATTGCTGGTTAGCTAAAGGACGAAGCAAGGTAGAGCATTATAGGACACAGAAAAACCTATCCTCACCTTTTAATCTGTTTTGAGATTGCAATCAGAGTAATGGGTAAGAGTCACTTGGATGGGGCAGCATAAAGCAGAGCAGACTCTGGATAAATCTTCCAGCTGATGATATGGAAAAGCATTTTGGTATTTGGATGAACCCTGGCTGCATGGGATGAGAGAACAGTGTTAATGGTTAATGAAGGGCAGAGTCAATCCTGGCTGTATAAAGAGTGACCAATACATGCAGTGTTGGTAGGGAAGAGGAAAGTCTGCTTTGTCCTTGTCATTTTTAAGTTGGTGATGAGTCATGTAAAATCCTCAGAGCCAAGGTAATGTCAGGGGAACTGGCTGTAGTAGAAAGGCAATTTTTTTTGTATCTAGGTGGATCACATAAGAGAAACTGGGCTCAGCAACCAGCGGGGCACAGGGTAGGATAATATAATTCTTTTTATATAGAAAGAAATACTAGTGTGTCAGAATTTGTTCTTGTTCTGCCTAAAGAAAGAAGTTAAAATTACAGCATTTCAAAGAACAAGACAAAATTCCTTTGCAATCTGAAATATTTTTTAAAAATACTAAAAAGCCCAAACCAACCATAAAAAAAACCCTCAACCCACCAAAACCTGCCAACCTATAAAACTAAAAAGGATTCTTAAAAGAATTTATTGCTCAAACTTCTGAAATGTCATTTTTGTTACAATTTTTTTCTGAGCAGGAATTTTGAGAAATATTTTAAATAAGTGGGTTTGGGGATGAATGTTCCTTTGACCCAAAAAAAGATGGTGTCTGAAAGGATGCTTTTTTTTTTGTTTCCTTGAAAAAGTTCTGTTAATCCTGCAGGCATTAAAGCACAGTGTTTTGCTTCAGGATATTAGAATGTTCTTTTTCTGGGAAGGGAGCACTGCCAAAAACCTGGAAAAAACCCCACAAGGCTGAGGTAGAAAGCCAAGAGGATGTGGGTAGTGCAGGTGGGTAACAGAGAAGGTGGTGTGAAAAATCTCTTTGTGGTGAGAGGAAAAAAGAAAATGGAGATTACAGCTGCTGACAGTCTTGTCATTGTTTGCTTTGTCGCAGTCAGCTGGAGCTGCAGGACAGCTTGGAGAGCACATCACCCCTTCAGAAGGCGCGTGGGAGCGGGTGCTGTGGCGAGGCAGCCTGAGCCTCACTTCACACCCTTACACTTCCTCCAGCCATGCTCAGCAGCACAGGCTCGAGGCAGTCAGCAGCCTGGCTTAGCACGGACGTGCACGGGAATTACTTGGTGAATTCAAGAGTGACTTTTCAGACTGGCACAGCAGTCTACCTTACATGCAGCAAACACCCAGAAGGCTGCAGACCTTCCCACAGCCGAAACAAGTGTGGTCTGAGCTGCAGGGTTGTCACTTGGTCAGGGTATCAGCTTGTGATCCAGCTGCTGCTTCTGTCAGTGGTGTAGGGGAGCTAACCACCTCACTCAGGCCACTTTGCCTTCACTGTTTATAACCAGAGCTCTGTGTGGATGTCAGGAACACACATTTCCACCAGCTCCTTCTCTCTTCTGCTCCACACTGATCCAACCGGGCAGTGCACGTGTGTGAGGTCACTGCCTGCTCCAATACCAGCTCAGGAACTCTGGAGAACTGAGGGACTTTAGCCTAAGGCATTTTTACTGCATTTCACTGCAAATTTCATTTCTTTATGATCATCAGTTACTGCTTTTTTTTGTCAGCCTGTCTGTTCTAAATAGAGGCTCAAAGCCTTTTACACTGGCTAAGGAAGTAATGGTTTTCTCTGTAAATAATCCTGTGGTTTCCTACAGCAGGAACTTTATCAGAATAAAATCAGAAGCAGCTAATGGAGGCTGCAGGATTTGTAACAAGCATGAGAGCCAGGAATGAGAGCAGTGTTGGGGCTTTTTCTTCTTCAGCTTTTAATTTTTTCCTGGTTCAGTGGATATTTTTTTCCCATTTTGGATTTTCAATATGTAGCATTAGTATGAAGAGAATTAATTTCCTTTTAGCATTATTCTAAAGTGGACAGCCCCCAAGCACGTTTGCAGTATTTCTGTGTAGCACTGGTATTTTTGCCTGGCAGGACTCCCTCTGCCCGAGGTGAAATCTTGCAGCCCCCTACGCATTTCACACAGTACCTTATGGAGGGGAGGGCACAGCAGAAGACATTTTAAATTGAGAGGTGAGCTCTTGCATGGTTGCTGCAAAAGCCTCACCTTGTGGCCAAAACCCTGCCCAGACAGAGGGGTGTCAAGAGTCGGGAGAAGGCCTGTGCACTGCCACTGCTCCTCTGCCCCACGTGGTCTGGGAACAGACCCCCACAGACCCAGACTGCTGCTCTGGACAGTTTGGAATGGGGAACTCCCATTTCCCACAGATCTGCAAAAGTCTCGACAGTTAAACCTTTCATACTTTCCTTTCTTCTTTTCCTGCAGTGATAAAGGGAAGCTTTCAGCAACTGCATATGGTGCCTTGAAAGAAGAGGAATTCTGCCTTGTTTAGCCACATTGGTACTGACATCTGTGAAATAGTTGTGTCATCTTTTGTAATGTTCCTTTCTGCTACTGTCTTCCAGGTGCACACGTTCAGGGGCCCACACTGGTGTGAATACTGTGCCAACTTCATGTGGGGCCTCATTGCTCAGGGAGTAAAATGTGCAGGTAACAGTCATTCAGTCTTCTTTTCCTAAGACAGTCCTCATGTTGTCACTGTGCAATGTGCTGCCTGCTCCACCCTAACACTGCAGGGCAAGGGTGCAATCTGGCCCTTGTTAAATGGGAGAAGGAAGAGTATCCACTCTACTGCTCATGGTTTCAGGTACCTGTTCCATCAACTCACTGCAGTGATGCAGAGCATCTCTTGCTCACAGAGAGGAAATGATAATAATAATTAAGGGATTACTTTTTTTCAGCCTTTTAGAATGGAGGATAAAGTAAGTAGATGCATAGTTAGCTTTCTTTCTTTTGTACCATTCTGTGTATTGATAGGTGTGAGGAAGTCACTGAAGATCTCCATGTGCAAGGTGAGCATCAGCAAATTGCATGTTGCTGCTGTGACAGACATCCAGGTTAATTTTAAATATAAACCAGCAGAATTCCAGCATGCCATAGACCCAAAGTCATGTCTCCTACTTGCAAACTGAAAAGAAAGGAAGAAAAGGGATGATGAATAAGGGATGCCTACTGAAATGTTACATAAACATTCAGGTGCTGGTAGAAATGTATTACATGCATGGGTGTCACTGCAGGCATTTCTGGGATAAAGCCTTCCTGAAGGAAAAGAATTTGACAGTTTTATTGATAAGATTCTTCTGACAAGAAAGGGCAGTCAGCTTTTTTCAAAGGCACCAAAAAAAAGAGGATCAAAGTGATCAAAATAGTTTATTTTAAAAGTATTTTATGACATTCTAGCAAGCAGCCACATTTATAAAAATGGTGCAAAGAGATGTTGATGTACGAAGACCTGCATACGTTGCCCTGGAAACTGAATTTTCAAGCTAATTTAAGAAAATCTCCTCTGTCTAAAGCTTTCTGAAGTCTTGTCTCAAGCAAATAAGAAGGCTTTTTATCACAGAACTGCAAAGTAATGTGGAATTTAAAACAATTTCTAGCCAAATAGGATTGAAGTATTTTTAAATTCTTCACCCATCATTATTTGAATGCAATATTTTAGTATTATCAGTAGGCTGCATTGCCCAGGATGGATTAGAGAGTGCAGCTCTGTTTTAAGAAATTATTATGTAAAATGTAATTTCCTTTCTCAGTATTTTCCCTCTGCTAAGAATATAGGGTTGCGGCCACATCCTTCACTTGTGAGTGAAGGTTCTTAGTACTTTTTACTGCTGTTGATTTCACACAGGGTGTACAGTGATGGAAGAGAAAGAGGAAGCTTAATTTTGTTTGTGAACTATTGTATGATTAAAGTAGTCATTTTTTGATGACACTTCAGCCAGTAAGTGTGCTGTCTTACTTCCTTGCCTTAAGATTTTTCAGATCAATGTTGTGTAGCTTTTATAAAGAAAAAAATGAAACCAAACAGGTTTGCAATGCTGCTTGGCACTGTGGAATTAACTAATACCAATACTTTTACAGTTAAACCCAAAGTGCTCATGATTTTTGTATTGCCTTGTGGTTTTTTAACTAGAGTAGAGCAGATTTTCTGGTTTTATGCATATTTTTCAAAACTGTGGATTTCCAAAAGCTTCCAAAATCTGGTTTTCTTTCCTCCTTGTGAGAATGGTAATAAATACTGCATGTGTCCTTTTTCCTCCTTGCAGTGTAGAGGAATATATGTGTATTAGATGATTTCATAGGTTTAGAAACTATAATTAGGGCTTTCTGTCTTGTGTAAGGTTTCATGTCATTGTTGGTAGATTGCAGTAATCTCTATGATCTTATTTGTATTTTAAAATGATGTATGACCATGCTTGCTGAAGTGTCAGCAAGCTGTTGGGGCAGGATGAAGCTTCTGGCTCTGACAGCTTGCACAGCCTCAGCTGGCAGGAATGGGCAGACACTGCTGGAGGTGAGGCACAG